ATATAGATACCAAAGAAGCCAAGCTTAAACTGGTTTTTACTAAATTTTTAACTTGAATTGGTTATGTATACTGGTGAAGGAGAATTTAAAAACAACAGCCCAAGTTGATATTCTGAGGTTTTTATGTATATGTTACCAGTTATCTTGTTTATCACAAATTGCACAGATTAGATTAATTCATTACCTATTGATTATTTACTTGTGGTCATTTTGTCTTTTCTTAATTTCCAAGTCTATTTTTATTAGAATCTAAACAAAGACGGTTTGGGAAGAGATTGAATTCAATTCAAGAAAATTTAAGAAGTGAAAAAGCAAGTACGTTTAATTTAAGTGCACATGGTTGTTAATATCTAATTGTATTGTTTGATAGTCTTTCAGTGTTAGTGTTCATTAATAAACTATGCAATTACTCCATCAAGATTGTGATGTTAGTATGTTATATTGAATGATAGAAAACAATAAATATGTATTAGAAAATAGTTTATTTTCTTCAATAGATAATAATGAACAATTGAGAGCAACGGCTCCATAAATTCCTATTCCTGGTGCACTTCTGATATGAAGATGTGTTATATTATTCTTCTGATGTACATATAAAGGCATATAATACATGAAATCTGAAGTTACTATAATTTAATCTGTTTAATTTAAACATTACAACAAATTACTAGTAATAGATCTCTGAACATTATAATAAATTACCAATAATTAATATATTCTGAACATTACAACAAATTACTAGTAATAGATATCGGAACATTATAATAAATTACCAATAATTAATATATTCTGAACATTACAACAAATTACTAGTAATAGATCTCAGGACATAATAAATTACCAATAATTAATATATTCTGAACATTACAACAAATTACTAGTAATAGATATCGGAACATTATAATAAATTACCAATAATTAATATATTCTGAACATTACAACAAATTACTAGTAATAGATCTCAGGACATAATAAATTACCAATAATTAATATATTCTGAACATTACAACAAATTACTAGAATATGATTTACTTTGGACATTACAATAGACTACTAGTAAAACATTTAATCTGGACATTATAATACATTACTAGTAAATGATTTACTCTGGACTTTACAATATATCACCAGTATTTAATTTACTCCAAACATTACAATATATTACTAGTAAATGATTTACTCTGGACATTATAATATATTTCTAGTAAATAATTTACTCTAGACATTATAATGTTATTAATAGTAAATGATTTAATCTGGACATTATAATATATTACTAGTAAATCATTTACCCTGGACATTACAATATACTACAGTACTAGTAAAACATTTAATCTGGACATTATAATATATTACTAGTAAATGATTTACTCTGGACATTATAATATATTTCTAGTAAATAATTTACTCTGGACATTATAATATTATTAATAGTAAATGATTTACTCTGGACATTATAATATTATTAATAGTAAATGATTTAGTCTGGACATTATAATATTATTTCTAGTAAATGATTTACTCTGGACATTATAATATTATTAATAGTAAATGATTTACTCTGGACATTATAATATTATTAATAGTAAATGATTTAATCTGGACATTATAACATATTACTAGTAAATCATTTACTCTGGACATTATAATATTATTAATAGTAAATGATTTAATCTGGACATTATAATATATTACTAGTAAATCATTTACTCTGGACATTACAATATACTACAGTACTAGTAAAACATTTAATCTGGACATTATAATATATTACTAGTGAATCATTTACTCTGGACATTATAATATATTTCTAGTAAATAATTTACTCTGGACATTATAATGTTATTAATAGTAAATGATTTAATCTGGACATTATAATACATTTCTAGTAAATAATTTACTCTGGACATTATAATATTATTAATAGTAAATGATTTAATCTGGACATTATAACATATTACTAGTAAATCATTTACTCTGGACATTATAATATTATTAATAGTAAATGATTTAATCTGGACTTTATAATATTATTAATAGTAAATGATTTAATCTGGACATTATAATATATTACTAGTGAATCATTTACTCTGGACATTATAATATATTACTAGTAAATCATTTACTCTGGACATTATAATATTATTAATAGTAAATGATTTAATCTGGACATTATAATATATTTCTAGTAAATCATTTACTCTGGACATTATAATATTATTAATAGTAAATGATTTAATCTGGACATTATAACATATTACTACTAAATCATTTACTCTGGACATTATAATATTATTAATAGTAAATGATTTAATCTGGACATTATAATATATTACTAGTGAATCATTTACTCTGACTAGTATAACATCATATCTAGACATTACATTACATTATTAGTAAATGGTATACTTTGACAGACATTACAATATATTACTAGTAATTGCCTTAAACTGAACATTACAATAAACATTTACTCTAGATACTTGTGATACATTACCAGTAAACGGTTACTCTAGACGTCACAACATTATAAATGATTTACTCTAAACATCACAATAAATACTAGTAAATAATGTACTATATATATCACAATAGATTTCTCGTAAATGATTTACTTAAGACATCGCAATAATTGATTAGTACATGATTTTCTCTGGACTACAATAAATTACTAGTAAATCATCCTACTACATAATAAAATAAACTGCTGTTGTGAGCGGATACCTTTGTCTTTATCAAAGCAGACGACAGCGCAGGTGAGGACGCGAGTTGATTCATACGGACTGTTTTACTATTGTGTAGGCTATACCTGTCCTAGTTTTATATCCATATTGCAATAAGCTGAATACAGGACATGATAATACAATAAGCTACACGGCACAAAATAGGACTATATTACAGATAGATTGTACGGTCGTACATTGTAAGTTATCGAATTCAGAGATCAACTTAAAAGCATCTTGTTACAGATGAAAATGGCCGAAAGATTAACTTTATATTACTATCCTGGTTCATACTTTTCTCAAAAGGTAAGATCACTTGATATTTTAAGCAATGGAGCATGAGCACCAAGTTCAGCATAGATTTATTTTAGAATTGGGTATAAGTTACCGATATATATTGACTATAACCAAAGATAATATAGATTAGTTCAATTGGTTCAATCTATACTCTTTGCTGTATTTATGTCAGGGTCATACGTTACAGATTATATTGCGGATTTTATTATATGGTGGTCTATGACCGCAATCAACTCAAATTCAATTACAGTATTTGGGACAATAAATAGACAGCTAGATAGTGTATGGTAACAAAAAACATTGGCAGTTATCGAAAAATAATAAAATAGTAGACCAATGCGGCAATGATGTCATCAACTGCGCTTGTTCAACTTCTGGCAAGAGTTTAGATCTGATCCTTGATAGCAATTACGACTGTCTACTGCGACTGATCTGATAGGGTGCTTTGAATCGCCAATCAATCTGAAATAGGTTTGGGTAATATTACGATATTATCGAAATAACCAGTATGAGAAAAAAACTAGACGATACGGTATGGCATTTTTCCTATACCGGTATACCGTTGCAATTTTATAGCGACAATATTTTGTGATATCAGACGCAAGAAAGACGGTATCATGAGATTTAAGCACTGAGCTAGTTTAAAAGTTGACCAACCTAATCAATTAATTCTATAATATTTTGTAAAATAGGCCAAAATGACAGTTTGGAAACCATTAATAAAACATGTAACATAGCTCCTTAAAGGTTTGCTACCAGGCAACTCTCTTTATGACCCCGGGCTTTACTGTTACGTTTAAATCGCAGCTTACCCATTTGGTGAACCTCACCTGGGAACTTTTGTGGCAGTTTGTGAAGGTTGGTCAGAATTCATAAATCCATCCTCTTTCAGCCCATGACTGGACCGGACATTTTTCTATATCACGATATTTGAACCTATCGTGATAAATATTTGTCTATATTGCGATACAGAAAAAATCTCATATCGTCCATCTCTAATCTAGTAATCTGAATTAGAGAAAAGCTTCAACTTGAGTCGATCTGATTCAAATTAAGACTGTAGCCGTGAAAATTATCTTTCTGGAAAGGGATGTATAATCATCATTGTTAAATCCATTAATTAATTCACCAGTCTTCATGGCAAAATTGCACCCATTCGGAGGCCTCATGATTTAGTGTTATAATATTTTCTTTGATAAAAGTTGTCATAGATGGAGTTTAAGAATGTTAAATGTTGTTTCAGGCATTACTAGCATTATTCGAGAAGAATTTACAGTTTAATCACCATATTATTAAATTAATGGAAGGGGGACACATTGAACCATGGTATATTAAACTAAATAAAAATGGAAAGGTACCATTATTAAGAGATGATGAAACATTGGTACCAGATTCAGAAAACATTATTAGCTATCTTGATCAACAATTTCCTGCAGGTATTATCATTGTACAGAAATAATTGCCTCTTGACAACTTCATTCACTCCAACCCTCTTGTCCAAAGACTTGCTAAAGAGACGTGAAATTTTTTTAAAGGAACCACCACTTGAACCCTTTGGATTATACTGTGCCAATACAACTGTTCAGAGGCATAAAGTAGGGTTCAGGTCGACCTTCCAACTTGCACATCTGACAGCTATTGGTTTATCTGAAGCACCTTATAGCATCTGGAGAGATCTGATCAATTCATGATTTAGTCTACTTTCTTGCAAATCTTGTATCTGGTTTGCGGTCAGAGAGTACCGGTACGACCGTCCATTTGATATCAGTTGCTGAAGTCCGTTAATCTGTCGATGCATCACATATCGGCTGCGACGGATCTGATGAGATGCCGTGAACCGTGGGTTGACATAAACCGCCCTTAAGGAATCCCGAGAAATTTAAGCCAGGTTCTCACGGACAAACACATATTTGTGAGTGCTGACTGATACACAAATTGTCGCTTCAAATTCAGCGCTCTTTTTAGGTAAAACTATTTCAGCGTCAACACAAAATTATTTCCTTGTAAATTCCCTTTAATAAGTGTCTTAGCAGTTACCTATTAACAGATCGCTCAAAAGAAAGGGTTCAAATTATTTTCAGTTTTTATTATTTTTTATTATTGTATTTCAGGTAGTAAATTGGTGCCAGGCAATAAACCTCCTGAATATGATCGACTTCACCAACTATTAACCGATAGAATATCTATACAAACTTTAACTTATGGAACATTTATTAATCCTGATTTATCTTTCTCTGGATTACCTCCGGCTTTAATTCAACCATCTGATGGTACAGAAATTTTTTTATATATTTCAATCGTGTTTTCAAAGGATAGTCTGTTTAGTGTACCACAATGCAGAATTTGATTTATCGTCTGACATCCCTGGTTTCTGAAATTCCAGAAAAAAACAATCAGATTATGATGTAACTAGTGCGTAATATTTAATCATTTGGCGAGTATTTTTGGAATCATTTACATTTTTTGTCAAATTTCGAATTCTGGGAAATTCAACGTCTTCCGACTTGTTAACGTAACATTTATTTTCGATTGGTAAGAATAAATCATAAAAACTTTTGATGCCAATGGGTCAAAATTCCACAGAAAACGATTGAAAGAGGATTATTGTCAGAGCATGGATGACCTGTGTAGTAACCTCAAAATAAAAATGAAACATTCAGACATTATTTTCATCATATTGCTCAAATTAAATATACTTTTTCAGTAATTATTGGGAATTTTACAAGAATTGTTGAAAAGATGCAGAGACTAGCAGAAGAAAATCCTCATTTAAGAGAGGAATATCTGAAAAAAGCTGAAGAGAACAAGATGTTTCGTGATAATGCCGCCAATAAAGATAAAGTTCAGGAGACTTTAGAAATGATCCATGAAGTGTTAGATGAAGTAGAAAAACAACTGGAAATATCTATGAAAGGTATCATGTAAATTGTCATTAATAAAAAAAAGTCTGGTGGCTCTGCATGTTCATTTAGAAGCGGTAGATATTATCTATATAGATAAGGATATCTACCCTTACTAAAGGAACATGGTAATTTTGATGAAATTAGCCTCCATGACGGGCATTTCTCACCTTCTAGTGTACAAATACAATAGCGATTGTAAAGAGGTCTTCTAAAAAAGTTTATGTGTATCGGTGACACCAGTAGCATCTGTAATTCCACCAAACTAAGCGTTTCATAACGTCACTTATCACAAAATATGCTTTATCAAACACTCAAAAGTGCAAATTGAAGCTATCGCTATATCCGATACACATAATTTATTTTTAGAAAAAACCTCTTTTCAATCCCTTGAAGATAAATAAATAACTTAAAGGATTTCAGAGATTCCAATGTATCATATATCATTACCCAAATTTATTAGTAAATTATCAATATCTCACTTTATTCCAGATAATCCAGGTAACTGGTTATTCAATAAAGATTATACATCACCTGATATCACTTTAACTGTGTTTCTGAATCGATTAAAGTTTCTGGGACAAACTAAAAGATATATTTCTGATAATAAACGACCACATGTCAACAGATACTGGGATAGGGCTCAACAGAGGAAGAGCTTCCTGAATTTTATGGAATTGTATACTAATTTTTCCAAACAATAATAAAGTATTTATTTTGTAATAGTAGTTATTCCTTATCATTTTTCACAAATTAATAACAAAAACAAAACACATATGTTGGTAAATCGTAAAAATGAAATGAAATGAATGGAGTTTTACGTCCTACTGTTCTGCACCTTGTTGGTAAATCATATACTATTACCAATTTCAATTATGTAAAATAATAATATTACCTACATAAAATACCCATACCTATCTTAGATTAATTTTTTTTACAAACATTCTCTCCTACAAAAATGCAATGTGTATTTTTCCATTTACTACACTGCAGGACAAATCATCCCAACTTATATTGGTAACCGAGGTTATAACCAGGTTATGGCCAACAAAGTTTTCATTTTATCAACACAAAGTTAAGCTAACGCTACATTTTTGAAGCTTAAAGTACAATTCACACAACTAAAATTCCAAATATGTGATCTACCCATAAAAAAAGTAATCGTAAAGAATAAATATAACAATTCCAGTGCAACAAAATACATCTTACTACTGCCAAGCTTATTCTGCTTCAAGACATTGATATTCTGTAACAAGTTATCAAGTAAAAATCTTGTAAGCAGCATCTTCATTGTCAGATAAAGTCTACAACAGAAAATAACAGTGTATATTTAAACGAAGAACTATATATACTCAAGATTGGTCCGGAGGGCAGCTGCATCCCAAATATTATCTTTTCGGGGAGACAAGTAGTATTTAGTGTTTTCGGGTGATGTTCTAAAATATGTAAGTTCTGAAAGAAAATCTGCCAAAAGATCAAATGGTATTGAGCAACAACCTAAAAACAAAGAAAGATTCCTGGAAAAATTTTGGGCAAACCAATATGCCCATGTTTGTTCTGTATATACTTACTATATCATAAACCAATTTAATTTCAGGATTTAATCCACAATATTTTCTCTGATCTTTTATACTTTTGGATACATCAAGTAATATATCTTCACTATCAGTATTCTGAAATAAGAAAAAAAATGCAATCTGAATTTTCCCGATTAACTATGGTCAGAATATAGTCTCTCATAACAACTAATTCAACATTAGTTATTACACTTTCTCCAGGGAAAATTGAACTCTGTATAACCAGGTTATCCTCATCACAACTTACAGGTACTTCAACATAAGTTATAATACTTAACTCAGGGCAAATAGAACTATGAATAACCAGGTTGTACTCATCAAAAGTTTTAGGTATATCAGTTATTATACTTACCTCAGACCAAATAGAACTCTGTATAACCAGGTTGTCCTCATTAGAAGTTTTAGGTATATCATTTATATCAGTTATTATACTTACCTCAGGGCAAATAGTACTCTGTATAACCAGGTTGTCCTCATTAGAAGTTTTAGGTATATCATTTATATCAGTTATTATACTTACCTCAGAGCAAACAGAACTCTGTATAACCAGGTTGTCCTCATTAGAAGTTTTAGGTATATCATTTATATCAGTTATTATACTTACCTCAGGGCAAATAGAACTCTGTATAACCAGATTGTCCTCATCAGAAGTTATAGGTATATCATCAACATTAGTCACACTATCATCATCAGTTTTATCACTACTATTAGTTATATCATCTTTAGATAATAACCCTTCCTCTATTGCTTCTTTTTCCACCATCTAAAAAAGATTTTCATCAAAATCCAATCAAACTTAGATACATTTACAGATCTAATGACTGTTCTTCAATATATTAAACCATCATTAATCAGATAAATACCTTCCAACATTCTTCAGTGACAAAATTGTCTCAACACAAAAATAAACAGGGGTCACATCTAGATAAGCATAAGCCTTCACACAAAATTTAAGTAAAGCTGCAAAAATGATGGCATGTAGACTGAATCTAAGATGGTACTACAAAGCACACAAAAGAAACCACTACTTTGGTAAAATGAAAAAACAGAGGATCGTCTTTACCTGGATACAAACATCCTAATCCAAAATGAAACAGACGAGTGGAAATAAAGATTTTGACATACACAACATAGGTAAGTCTTACCTCTAATGATGTACGAACTAATAGGTCACACTCAGTAAAACTAGTTGATGTTTGTAAACTATTATTTGAATATAAATCATGGTCTCCATTTTCTCTTGAATTATACCTTAAAAACAATACTATACTATATCCTGAGCCATATCATAAGCAATATTGTTTGGGTTTTTTTTTTTGTGTGTAGAGAGGGGGGGTGAATTCTTAGCAATATTGTTGAAGGGAGGATAATGCAAACTAACAGAATGGCAAACAGGATCATTGTCACCTTTTCTGTTGTGCTTTTCATTTATGACTTCGGATTTTTCACTCTCTAAACTGTTGGGCAAAAATTCCAATAGTAGTATCAGTTAAAGTCATTAATCACTTAGTGCCAAAACATAAATGTGAATAACCCTGAATGCAAAATGACGTTATTTCAAATTATATTGATGTAATGTGAAGTGACTTGGTAACAAGTAATGGCTGCTCCATGGATCTTGAGGATTAAGCAAAGAATTTGAGTTAAGTCGTATGAATTACAGTATGATATTTACCTAAAAGGCATCTCAACCAGTTCAGCAACGTTTTCAGAATGGTTAACCACATGTTCCCTGGAATGGTGTACTTTATGTTTCCCCTTTTTAAATCTATATTGTTTTCTTTTACTACCAGATGCTGGAACATTTTCATCTGCTTTTCTTTTCAATCCACCAATATCACTATCATTATTGACCGGGGAACATTTTCCATTTAAATCTTTTAACTGAGTAAAACTTTTACCACCTGAAAAAATGTCTAAAACTATTAAAGGGATTGTAAGAGGTTTTAAAATTTCTTAAGTTAAGCAGGGACACTGATAGAATCAAATTGTACCAATCCAATCTGAAGTCAGACATCTGTGTTTCCTGCAATTCCATACGTAACATAAGTGTTTTAAGTCGTCACTAATCGCAAAATATGCTTTATCACAATAGGCCCTTTGTAAATAGTTCCTTCAACAAACATTTAGTTTTAGAGGAAATGCAGAAATCACAGACGTCTGATTGAAAATTAAAACGGTGCAAATTGATGCTGTTTTCCCAATACACATAGAAAAATTTTAAAAACACATCTTCAAAATCCCTTTAAACCTGAATAATCAATTTAAATATTTTATTCAAACATTTGAAGCATTTGATTGAGTTACAAGACAATAATTATGGCAATTATGAAATGCAACTTTATGTTTTCCAGAAAGATTGGACAACTGTACAAATTGAAATTCTTTTACCTGTAGTTGAATTCTCTTTGCTCTCTGATATTGATAGTGATGTATTTGAAAGAATCAATATGTCAGAAGAATTACTGAAAATATAATCATTTTCTTTCTCATAAATACTGAAATAAGCAACTAAAATTCTTAAATCAATGAAAATCCTACAATGGATTTTTCTTCTGTGGAAAAACAATTGAAAAATTCATGTTATAATTGACAATCAAAACTTTCCAGGGACAGGTTATCCATTTTCAGGTGTTGATTTGGGTCTTGAATATATGTAGAGGTAGTCTTCAGAAGTACTAGAAATGTAAGAAAATCACATTATTACTTAAAAAATATCTCAAACTAGGAATTTCACTTTCTTTTTCTATACGTGTCTTTTGTTTATATGACTTTATAATTTTCAAACTTAGATAATTGTGGACACAAATGGATTTGAGGTCAGCTGTGAACTGATTAACTTAGCCAATGAATTCCAGTTTCTGAGACTATATAAGGTACAATTGGTCAAACAGATGACAAACCTGTCCCTTTTAGCAATATCACACTTTTTTGAAGAGCTCATACCTTGAACTGAGTGAGGTATCATTATGTTCAGTATAAACTATATCTTGTGTATATAAAGGTGATATTGATGTTAATATATCTAACATGTCTTCACAACTCAATGATGTCTGATTAACACAGTAGTCTAACAATATTTCATAAGCTACTTCTGATGACGAAAATCCATTGAAATATTGTGCACCCCTCTCCAAAATCTGAAAATAGACAAGACTGCATCACAAAAATATCAAGATACTATCCTCATCTATGCTGAGATTGAACCTCAGATCATCACATATCATGAAAGCATCTAACTCAATCATCACTCTTTCAAAGTAAATGTCAATGCTAAAAAAGACTTCATTGAATAGTTGATAAATATAAACTAATTTTTCTTCAGATTTTCTTTTAAAATTCTTATGATCCTAAAATAAAGCATTATTTCATTTTTGCCATAGAATAATTTTAGTCACCTTTTGAATTTTTGGTTTTGGTAATTGTTCATCAACTCTATTGACAAATTTATAAGCACTTCTTTGTAAACCACATAAATAACCTTCTCCATATTCCTCTTCATATTCATTGGTAAAATAATAATTTCTCTGTTTCTTATTGGCTAATAGAGGTAGGAAAAACTTGCGAAAATTTGAAATATGTTTATTAAGTCTGCTTAACTCTTTGCTTGTCTGAAAAAAGAAATGAATTCACATGAAATCCACCTATTTATATATCTATATTCAAACATGGAAGTAAGTCTTACCTCAGGTAGGTTCTGGCAAATAGATAGAACAAAGGCTTGTCACTACATATAACATGATATGTATGTGACCTCCTAAGTGTCTTAGATTGCTTATCTAAGCATTGCTTGCTTACCTAAGCAGTAGAAAAGTATACTTACTGCAATAGAATTTCTGATTCCCATTCTTGGAAAATATTCATTTAATTTGGCCAATGCTGTGACAGTCTGACCTCTCTGTAGGACATCTAATAATATCTATAAAAAACACTTATTAACAATTACAGACATGTCATTGACAATTTTCTAATAATAAACATGACTGCTAAATGCAGAGCAACTGAAAAATATCTGATCTTTCTATCATTTTTCCATTCCAACATTTAATGAGTCTTGAATTATCATGTCTGAGAAGGTAGACACTTATTTCATATCTCTTCTTATGTTAGGTTTTAAATGAGAAACCCAATCGCTCACAATATCCTAAGAAATAAAATGGATACCTTTCTGCTCCAGTATTAGATAATGCAGACTGGCAACATCATGCAGTGGGCACAGGGGGAAATTTGTCAGAACAGCGGAATAAGCTTTGTGTGCTTATGAAAAACATTGCAACCCATATCATCAACACAAAATTTGTGTGCTTACCTGCATTTTTATACCACATAACAGTTTAGCATACACATGAAACGATATTACAGAACCTAGCAATTCATATATCTCTTCGACAAATTCTAAAGCCAAGGGAAATAACTCCATTACATTCTTGTCAACAGTGTGGTGCAAGAGAGCAGTAGCTAGCCTGATGTGTGGAACATTGAGATAATCTGATATATTAACTACATCGGCATGTCTTTTACAAATTTCTGAAATGTAACAGGAACAATAGGATACAAACAATATTACTAGTGGAAGAAATCAAATCATATTGCTTGGGCTTGTGATAAATCGAAACTAAAACTCGTTCTATTTGACTATAGAGTTCATCTCATGCTTCTATAAGTTTCAATTTGAAAATTTAAAACTATCAAGACCATCAAATCAAAGCATAAAATTAGACTAGGCATTCTTAAGCTAAATTCATTCTTGGAATTTGGAAACAAGCTTTTCTTAATGATGAAGGTTAACCAGAATAGGCTACATTTGTATTAGGCAGACATAACTTATTTTGAAGAACACATAAGGCAACCAACCCTGCAATGACACTTAATTCAACATAGTCTTTATCCTGATCAAAATCATTATCATGTTTGCAAAACAAGGTGTTATTTTTACCAAGTGATGTTACTTTTATGACTTGCCTTTAATAACTTTATATTCTCTGTGATAACAGGCATATTCAAATAGCCATGTCTCTACTACATTAGTCATACTATAATTTATTCAATGACGTTCGATGAACTGTCTATTTTGATACTCTTCCTGTAAAAAAAACTAAAACAGATACATTACTATGCACATTCATATTTATCATACCTACTCAAAGTAATGATAAGTATTTTAGGGCACTTGCTGAAAATGTTATTTGTGTTGATACTCATCATAGAGATTATAACTCTACCATGCCCATGGTTGTATGTGTACCGTACTCTTTTCATTGTTGTTATTGAACTGTAGACTCTATAAAATCTAGGCATACTGTTTAAACTAGGCCTACAAAACATGACGCAAGGCAAGGTAAGAGGTCACGAAGTTTCGCATTGCTTTATTTAATTCATAGACCTTTGGTTGAGGGATCATCATCATGGGCAACTTTTTTTTATAGGAAACTTGTCGTGCTGAAGTCTGAAGAATGAAACGTCAAAATCTATTTACGAATGGTTCGTTGATAGTTGTGAAAACTTTGGAGCACACTTAGTAAACACAGTGGACTACACACAGTCATGTAAATTGTAAATTTTGCAATACTCATTATTCTACCTAAAATATGATCCACGAGTCCAATACTCAAAAAGCTTTTTGTTGTCAATTCAAAAGGGTAAAGGTCAAGGACACACATCACGTGCAAATTTCTCATTGTAGAGAACAACCAAAAACGAAATGTTTTAAAATTAACCGAAAAAATAATACTACATTATCTACTCGTTTTTACTTAAGATTATTTTTCTGTATTAAAATTCGTTTTTTAAAACACAATTTCCACAGTCTAAAGAGTAAAGTGGCAGTTTTTTTTTCAAATGTTGCAGTTGCTTGTCTTGTCAGCAACGATCTATAGGTACCTATTGGGCTTTAAATGGAGTCATGCAGATTTGGTTTTGCGGAATTTGTAACCTCTGACGCCCAGACTCTCGTCGCAGTGTGCCTATGCATTGACAAAGAGGGGCTGGATGATAGAGGAAACTTTCGCCTACCGAAAGTAGCATACCCGGTGATCACAATGCGAAATTTTACCACTTAAATCACGAAATAGTGGACGACTTCTTTTCTTCTAAATAATGCATCTCAAATTTTCTGTGTTGCCATTATTATTCTAGTAAAAATACCGGGGGCTGAACCTTAAGTCGTAAATTGTTCATACCCCAAAGGAAATAAAATCTCTCCCCTCATGCCTTTTACATAGTAGGCTACATTTTTATCTTTTGTAATTGGTGGTTCGGGAATGAAAGGGAATGCAGCTTAAAGTCTCTTTGGTCTTCGACCTTCACCGTTTCTCACACGACCTTGCTGATAATCGGTGTACATGTGGACAAAATGTGAGAAAGAAAGAAATTATTGTGCAATGCTGGCACACTAGGGTCCGCACGTATTTAAGTAACAATAGTATTAATCAAAATAAACAATATAATTCCCAGAGAAGGTATGGTTATAGCGTACATCATCGAAAATTATAGCAGACGATACATGAGATGACCTTGAGCGTCTGTTTCAAGGTTGGGTGTTTAATAGACCAAACCTAGCCATTGTACCGGAGCTTGGTCATTCCATAACATTTCATTGTTCCATTAGCCCACGTTTAGATGTGGATGTAAAACCTTTATGGAAAATAGTGTTTTATTAAATTGGTTCCAGGGATATTGAATTCACAGCTTTAATTAATTCAAATTTTATTCAAATACGTCAAGTGCCGGTTTCCTATTAAGCTTCTTTTGTGTTATCATATACTTGCGTTTCTGCAGTTGTGTTTAGCTAACTGTCAGTTCTTTGTGTTTCATTTACTCTATCTTTAATGTTTTGGAATTGTTAATGAATTGCATACAGTAAATGTGATTTGGGTTCGATAACTGTGGTGTTTGGTGACAACGTGACTATTAAATGACAGAGGGTTTTTCAAACTAAACATGTTCACGGAAGTGTTATTGTGTTTAATATTCATAATTGGATTAATATACTACGCTATGGCCTTTATTTGGTCGTCGGCGGAATCAAGTGTTCCTTTAATTCCGGGAAGATTGCCTTGTATAGGAAACGCATGGAAACTAGATCTGTCCAAACCGCATATTGTTTTAACAGAATGGGCTAAGAAATATGGAACTATATTTCAAATGAAGTTATTCAATGAAGAAATAGTGGTATTAAATGACTATATGAGCATATATGAAGGTCTAGTCATGAATGGGACAGCATTGAGTGGTCGTCCTCCGATGTATAGAACAGCACAAAATGAACGAAACGAACACTCTATTGTGTGGCAAACGTATACATCGAAATTAATATTTTTACGCAAACACGTTCACCAATCTTTCAAAATGTACGGACAAGGATTAGAACAGTTAGAATATAAGTGCAAATCAGAAATAAAAGAACTGATTCAAAGATTTGAAAGTAATCTGGGTTCCAAAATCGATCCCCAATATGCAATATATGATTCCGTATGCAATGTTATGATGGAATTGGTACGTATACAAATTTTGGGTATTCATTTATATTCATATATATTAGTTGGAGTTGGGATGACATGTCCAGAACGCTCATTTACCAATGAGCTTTATATTCCAAATTAGCCTATATTTCATCTTCGCAGTGCCGCAGATTTGGCGGAAAATTTGAAAATGTATCTTCACTCGTCGATGTCACGTAATTCTTCGTTCCACCAGACAGACTCGACTTATCGGCTGTCCCTCAAACTTACAAATTCGGACTGTTAAATATCTAGATTGCAACCACACAGAACCTCGATTTATTGTACTGACCACCTCGACCAGTAACAGTACCAATCCAAAGTTATAGACGAAAACCTTTTTTACTAATTGTACAAAATTACTCTGTTTGAAGTGCATTTAAAGTTCGAGGTTTTCAAATTACATAGTGGTCGATCTAAAGTTCGTATTTATCTTGTCATATAAAGTTGATAATAATTTAAATGTCACTTTACCCTTTCACTTACAGTAATTTGTGTTGGTTTGGACTGTTCATGATGATTAAAAGAGACGTCTTTCGATTTATTGTTTTAACAGCTTTAAAGGGATTGTAAAGAGTTTTTCTTAAAAAACAATTATGTGTATCGATAGGGAAAACTGAGAGCATCAATTCGTACCATTCCAATTTTTAATCAGACGAGTGTGTTTCTGCAATTCCAAATCGCAAATTTGCGACGACATCAAACATTTAATTATAGTGGAATTGCAGGAACAACAGACGTGCATATATTGATGCTATCAGTGTCCCCGATACACATAATATTTTTATAAACCTATTTAAAATCCTTTAAGGACTCTATAATGCAGGAAAAGCAATGTTATTAACAAAAGCTTAATACGAAAAGATGAATAATCAATGGTGGAAAAGGGTTATCTCTTGGCATTTCTTCTGTGCATTATTGAGATAAGTTCAAATTATCTGATTTTGAATATGCAATGTTCTATGTGTATTCCGACATGCGCAAGGATTTTGTCGGATTTCGGAGAGTGCGCCGTCAAAACAATATGCACGCAATGCTTATGCAATTGTTTTTCTTTTTCAGATTCTTGGCACAAAGGAAGACAAAGAAGCAAAACTTGAGAGAGTCAAAGAATTAAACGTAGCTTTCAATGAAGTATTTGGTTCTGGTAGTTCGAGAAAAATTGACTTCATCCCATGGTTACGTCGTTTTGGAAGTAGAGAACAGACGAAGTTAATGGAAGCACTGAAGTTAAGAGATGACATTTGGAACAAAGAAATTAAAATCTTATTGGTGAGAAAATCTGAATAATGAATTAAAAAGCATATTTGGTTTGGTTAACAATCTCAAACGTTGAAGATTTGGTTAACAATATCAGACTTTGAAGGTTTGGTTAGCAATCTCAAACGTTGAAGGTTTGGTTAACAATATCAGACTTTGAGGATTTTGTTAACAATCTCATACGTTGAAGGTTTGGTTAACAATCTCAGACTTTGAGGGTTTGGTTAACAATCTCAGACGTTGAAGGTTTGGTTAACAATCTCAGACTTTGAGGGTTTGGTTAACAATCTCAGACGTTGAAGGTTTGGTTAACAATCTCAGACGTTGAAGGTTTGGTTAACAATCTTAAACGTTGAAGGTTTGGTTAACAATCTCAGGCGTTGAAGGTTATATTGTTGGTTATAAATCTTTCCTACGATTTGCAATGATTTACAAAAATTCTAATATTGTGTCCCGACATTTAGTCAAGGGCAAATGGACAATAACCCTAAATCACTCACTCAGGGGAAAACGTGAATGTGTGTACATGTATATAGCTTTATGTAACAGAAAATATGTTAAGTGGGAAATTGCTCAATAACATTTGACTTCCTGCTATTATGATGTGCATAGCAGACACTAAGTGTTTTGACATTTTTCAAAAAAGCAGTTTCATCTGACTCGAGGAGATTGAATTTATAGGGGCATAAATGCATGGGAATACTGAGAATATCTTTCATAAGAAAAGAAACAATAGCCAATGTTTTGCTTACCCGACCTCTTCCATAGGGCACAATATGTCCCCTGTATCATGTTTTAAATCTGATTATATTTGGTATTTCAGAAATCAAACAATAACCAGGAAGAAGGTGTAATACAATCATTACTGAATAAAAGGCATGATTCTAATTGTCAAGATATCAATATCACAGAAAATACAGCTAAAGAAGTTTTTACCAATCTTATTCTAGCAGGTTTGTAAGTTTATTAGTTCATTTCTAATAGCTGACTTTTATATATGGCACTCAGAGTGAACCACTGATGGATAAAGTACAGCAGTTAGTTATAGGGATAACCTTCTGGATATTTGTATCGTTGGTTGTTTTATAAGGCCAAATAATATCAGTTATTTGTAATTTTTAATAGTTAAATCTTGCGGTCAATTCTTCTGCAATACAAAAGAAACGTACGATAAGTTCAAACTGCCGACATGTATAGGCGGACCCATTCTGATGTCATGTGTATACCCACAGCTGTTTTGACCAATATGACCAAGATTCTATTATTTTTAGGTACAGATACAACAGCCACGGCACTCACTAGCTTATTACTAATATTCTTGAATTATCCAGAAGTTCAAGACAGAATGTTTCAGGAGATTTCGTCAGTTATTGGAACAGAAACATCACCAAGTTTACACCATCGTGAATCTTTATCGTACTGTGAAGCAGTTTTATTAGAATTATTACGGTATTTGTCTCATGTTCCATTAGCTGTTCCTCATTATTCCATCGAAAATACCGCAATTGGTGGTAAAAACATTCCAGCAGGCCTCACGGTAAGGATCGCTTAAGAAATATCTACAAGATTTTCTTAGTGATATCTTTATGACTCTATTTCACTGTAACAGGCTTTTATTCAGTTGCTGGTACAAAAACTGGATAATCAGCCACGTGAGATCCGACGTGATGCATTGAACTACCGGTGAACCTTACTGGTTGTAGGTGAGTTGGTCACAGGAAATTTGGTCATCTGAAATATGGTTTCAGTAGTATGGGCAGAAGGTATTTTTTGGGGTAAATGTAACTGTGACCAAATTACAATGCGCCTATCTTACTGTGACCAAAATACATTGTGCCCGTAATACTGTGACCAAAATACCTTGTGTCCGTATAACTGTGACCAAAATACCTTGTGTCCGTATTATTGTGACCAAAATACCTTTACCCGCTTTACTGTGACCAAAATACCATGTGCCCGTATTACTGTAACCATAATACTTCGTGTCCGTATTACTGTGACCATATTTCCGTTGACCAAATTTCCTGTTATAGTGCCCCACCCAACCCACTCTTCAGTAATGTTGATCAAATATCTTTTCAAGGTTTACATAAATTTATGGGCATTGCACCATGATGAGAGTATCTGGAACTCGCCATGGATGTTTGATCCTGAAAGATTTTTAGACAGTCGTGGACAGATAATGGCACCGGGGAGTATTGTAAGGAGAAGGTAAGTATCATTATCATTATCAATTATTAATATGGGAAAGTCCGATGACCTTTCTTGTCATCTTTACTCATAGTTACATTCATCCCAGTTGTGGTTTCTGGTATATATACTCAGGAGAAGATCATTTACAAGGAGACTGACGAAAACCAGCTGACAGACAGCATACTCAGAAAATTTAAGTTTCTCCTTATCGTTTTGCTGCATATATTTTTTTTACATGGCCTATACCAGTAGCCTACGTAAAACTGGTTGGAATTTTTCATCAGATAAGTTTAGGCGAACAGCTGGTATGGGACCACAATACCCAAGAGACTTCTATTAGCGCAGCACCTATATCAAGGCTATACTTTTTTCTATGTACATATATTTATAAATCTATTTTGAACTCTATTTATAGATTAATGGTATTTGGAGCTGGCAGAAGGGTTTGTTTAGGGGAAACTTTAGCAAAGAATAGACTCTTTTTATTTGTTACGTCTTTGGTACAAAAATTAAAATTTACACATGACACACGTGAGGAGCTTCCAAATTGTGATCCGAGAACATTTGATATGGGATTAGTTTTACACCCAAAGCCTTTCAAGTTAATGGTTAGCAGTAGAGATAGAGAATCTTCATGACGATATATTTGATGGAATCTGTTTGTAATAAATTTGTACAATTCTTCTCGTTTTATATTAATTCATCCTTCTTCTCCGAAACAGAAACATGGACTACAATAATTATGCTATTAGAGTGGATTGAAAAAAAAGTCAATGTTATTGACTGAATCATATCCTTACCCATAACGTTGCCAACAAAGGGTATTTTTCAGTTTGTAGCAATATCCACATAAAGAATTCAAGTTTCTGTACTTCCTTACGAATGCAGTCGGGTTTATCGTTGTACATATTTGAGACTGATTGGTAAATTTTGAACCACAAGAATATGATAGCCTAAGGTATTAGAATTAAATTGTCATCTACCATCGTCTAACTAACGATTCTGTTCACCTCCATACGAATCGATTATCATGCTCGGAAATTATATCTGAAAATCTGTAGCATATATAAGGTCTAATAGTAATTTAGGTGAACCTCATCTTATAAAGTGGCAAAATTCCCCATACAAAAATTATTTTGGCAACACCGGATTAGCTTTTTAACCAATAAAGGCCTTATCATAACTGAATGAATATTTCCATTATGATTAACTTCCGCTATGAGAATTAATTTTACAATTTAATTTAAAGTTATAGTTATTGAAATAAACTTTAAATGGTTATTTGTAAAGATTATTATGCAGATGTAACGTTCTTTGGCTGTACACAGCTGTGACATTTAGAGTTATTCCCCTTTTCAAACATGGCGCTGCCCTTAAAGTTGTAAATTTTATCAGGTCAGAAAAACGATTGGGCGGCATTTTCCGGTCTAAATATTCCCTGTTTGAAATTTGCTACTATTAGACTTCAGTGGGAGATGATGACCTGAAATAACAACATCCTCTAATCTTGAACAGTTTCGTGTATGCTTTGCCTTGGAACTTGGTGATAGTCGATTCTCATTTATATTGATTGATTTGAAAATAGAAACTGGAACTGTGACTGCCTGAGGAAACTGAAATCTAGTGGAACGAGTGCACAGCCTCTTTGATATGAAAGGTTAAGAGTCAATAAATATTTTCCTTATCCATGATGGAGGATGCAGTCACCTCAAATTTTATATCATCATTGAGAGTTCTATTTGAAATTTTGGATGAAAAACGTGCTGGTTATGTGAGATTCTCGGATATTGAATTGAGGTGGAATGAAGAAGGTGTAAGAGGATTACCCTATGGTGTGTTAGATGCTCTTAGAAAGGTAGTTCCACCTAATGGCTGTCTTACATTTGAACAATTTGTTTCTGGTTTAAAATTGGCTTTAGTGACAAGCGCAAAGCAGAAAGAAAAGGGGCCTCCTCCAAGCTACAATAAGGATAAGGAAAAGATATATGATAGGGCAGGCTACCAAGTTACTAAACAATATGGAGATGAAATTCCTTATTATAAAGCTACATATGTCAGGACTGGACCTCCAGTAACTGTTGCAGTCAAACCTAACAATGCCTTAAATACCAATAGAAGAAGTGGGAGTAGTCAGCACCTAAATGAAAGAAAGGGTGAGGATAATTCCTCTGCTCCTGCTCGACCACCCAGACCTGCTGCTTATAGAAAGGTTGATGAAGCACCTCCCAAGATTCCACCAAGAGATTTGAGAAGAGAACAACAAATCATGAAAGATATTCATCATCGATCAAAATCTATAGAACAAATCAGGGCATACAAATCTGATCCACAATTAGATTCTCATATTCCTACTGGAAACAAAAGATATTCTGAAGTTGATGGCATCTATGCCAATATTAACCAGTTACAGAGAAAGCAGCGTGAAGAGGAACCTGTGAGAAGAGCTCCTGTGCAACGAAAAAATTCTGGTAGAAGACACACCTTGACCAGTGGAGTTGATCATAACCTAGTCATTAGACTCCAACAGCTTGATGAGGAGAAAAACCTTTTACTACAGGGTCAGAAAGTTGTAGATGAAACTAAGGAATGGTATCGAAAACAGCTTTCTCAAATCCAGGAAAAACAAAAATATGCTGGAAAAGTCATGTTCAACAATAATTCACTGGAAGCTCATAGAGAGAAAATCAACTTTTTAAAAGCCAGAATATTTGAGGTGAACCAAAATCTAAAAACATTGATTGAAAGTTCTGAAAAGGGTTTCCCTTTACATATGAATCTTGCCTTAGGATTGACATTTGCCACCAATACCAAAGATAATGGAATTCAAATGGTACGCGAACAAAATAAACTGTTAACAAACGAAGTCAGCACTAAAGATAAAAAGATATCCGTGTTAGAAAGGGAGAAGAGTTCATTAATTCGTGAGTTGTTTGAAGCTAGATCAGGTGGAAAGACCAATTATGATGACACTACATTTATGTAAAACGTGACAAACTATGGAGTGTAATGCAAAGTCAAAAACACTTTAGAAGGTTAAGATTATTTTCATGTCTTATTCAGTTGAAGGAAAAAACTTATTGTGCAGATCAGTAGATACATCCTGTGGAATATTATAGTTTTTATATTAACCTAAGTTAAAATAATTTCAAAGAAAAACTCCTAAGGGGTCTGAAAGGTGCTTTCTATCTATCATTTACAAGTGAATGATATTTTGATCAACAGGGTATAATTCAAAACGTAAACAGGAGCAGTCCAATTCATTTTGAGGTAGACAAATTAAACTTATACTTATACAAGCCAACCACTTTGTAATTGTTTCAAGTAAGCTATCTATTGTTGAAGTGGACTGCTCATGATTAGTTTTGAATTTGAAGTCATGAATTGCTTGACAAGTCTTCTGTTCAATATTACCTATTTCTGCTCAAATATAAATCATTTCATAATGTTTTAGCTTTTCATATGCAAGTTTATTTTCAACTTTTTCTTCACTGCTCACTATGTTTTTTTTTTTTTGCTTTTTGCTCAAAGTTTATTATTATTTCATCAAGGGTATATATAGAGTTATATATAATAAACACCAAATAATATATAATAAACACCAAATAATATATAATAATATAATGTGTCTTAAAAAAGCCTATATTAGAATATTGTTGATTTAAGATCATGTTTTGAAATATTATAATGTTAAAGGAATACGTCTTAGAATGAACATGAAATTTAAGAATTTTAAACTTGGCCAATAAGAGAATAAATTATATCATCAGTATATATACCTGATGTCATAAATAAAATAACAGGATCTTTATATAATCTGATAAATCCAAAAAACTTAGTAATTATCCATAAATATGCAATTAACTATTGAAAAACGCTTAATATTAAGCATTGATTAATAATTACTTAGTTTTATGAATATTCCAGATTTTACAGGGATTCTGTTGTAACTTTATGACACCAGGTAAGTTCGCTGATGAATATATACTCATATTCTTGAGAACTTGAATTCTATGTTTATTTTAAGACGAAGTATCAATTGAATTTCCAGGTATAACATTGAAGTTGCATTATTCTTCATGAATAATTTTCTACATATTTTGTTAATGTACAAAAGTTCTTGCATTAATCAGAATATTTTATGTTGGTGTCATTATCATGCATGTTGTTATTTCAATATTATTATACAGTATTTATGTATCTATTATAGCCTACCCCGCTTGTAGTAAGACTATGTTTTGTTATAAAACAATTGATGTCGCTGGCAAAATAACAATTATCTGGTGTTAAGGGATTAATTTGAGTGCTTAATTGCGTTCACTTTTTAAATTCTGATGCCTCCTGTGTCTGTGTCAATTTTAGAGAGTCCACAAAACCAAAATTGTTACATTGTTATTTTTGACAGCAATATGAATTGTGATTGAAAGGTTTAGAGTTGTGATGAAAATTAGAGTGGTGCCTTTTTTGGTTGTGATGTTTAGTTTATCATATATTTTATGTCTATATTTACACTGTGATGCCTAAATGTTGTGAAATTTTTATCCTATATTTAACTAATTATAATTGTTTTGCATTTGGGCTGTTGATAAAGCTGTAATTGCCAGTATTGTATGACTTCACCTTGTCTTCTAGGTGTTACTTTCTTGACTCTTATTATACCCATTGATGTGAGTTCTAAGAAGACGAAAGAATTTTTGAAAGAATTGAATGAATATTTTTGAATTAAGATATTTAACTGCCACACTATTCATTTTATGCAATAAATAAAATGGTTTTATTCATTATTTGTATTCATCATTTCTTTATTTGTTCCAGAAACGTCTTGCCTCCGAGGGTTATATTTTGAACACAGGTGAGTTGTGTGGATACAATAAAGTGGTCACATTATAAGTTGCATGTGATAAATTGCCGATAACCAGTTTGGAACCTTACGATAATTGCCATAGATCTACTCCACGGAAAAACTTTAGGCACTGAGATTTTACAGTGGTCTGTTGAGACATCAGGCGACTTAGATGAATTACCTCCCATTTTTTTTCTTTTCGCAAATTTTAGGAATTCAAAAATGGATCCGAATTCAGCTTTAAGCAATCCATAGATTCACATTACGGAAAAAATCATAGAAATTTCCCTTCAAAAAAGCTAATGCAGTTTAGCGCACTCTTTTGTTTCTGTAAGTTGAACACCGAAATTCTGGCAACACAGCAAAGTCTCAAAACTCAGTTGCGTTTGACAACAATGGCGCTGTACATGGAAATATGAGAATTATGACAGGTGATCGTTTTCACTTTGCCGATCATCCTTGTATGGAAATTCAGTTTGCAGATAAGTTGTTGAATACAGAGCCTTTAAAAGATACCGATTCATGACTCCAATAACCTTGCCATTAGTTATTAGGTAATGGTGATATCAATTTCGTCATCTGAAACTGAGTGATACTGATAGTGATAGCTTACAGTTACTGATGTGGATGTAAAATTGATACTCAGTGATACTGAGTGATAGACTTCATAATAAATATCAATACTAGTCTCAACCTTGTTATACATACTACAGTTGTACACACCATAGGAATCAGGTTTGTAGTTTATTTAAGGCCACATGCAGCCTATATATAGGCCAAAGCCATAGACGCTAGTTATAGGCCTTATATTGAAGGCAATTCCGAAACATATGCCTCTATTCTTGATTTCTTGCATCTGGTAACTTTCTGACCCAACTCCAGACTACAACTTTCACAATTCCAGAGGCAGGTGTTTCAGATCATGACATTTGTAGGCCTATCTCTATGTGTGTCTGAGATACATACACATACCCTACAGTGAGAGCTTATATTTCCACCTTACCAATTTCGCCAGAAAACATAAGAATGTTACTATCAAGAAGACTTTGGAAGTTTGACCAGAGTAGCATAGTAATGTTATTCAGAAGGATGGGATCATAATCTGGCCAAATTGTCAAGGAATTATTTTGGCTACCACAGATAGCAATGTTTTAGTTTTTGTAGTATCAGTATTAGAATTTGACATATGAACCAAATATAACTTCTTTCAGGTACCTAGACCAGATGTAAGAGTAGCTGTTGATTGAAAGTAGAATATAAAAATGGCTCAAAGAAAAAAGAGCGGTAAAGAATTAGGAACACAGGCCAAGTTTAAATTAAAAAGTGGTTTAAAACCAATTAGAAAGTTTGATGGTAAGAATGAGGCTTACATCACTAATCAATACAAAAATTCACTACAAAAACTTGTTTGTCATGTTTGTGACTATCTTTTCATCAAATGTTTGTGACTAAGAACACATACGAAACTAAATATGGTTATGTTACAAACATAGTTCACAAAAATTTTGAATCCCTACCTTGACTTTTTTTTAAAAGGCTATTTAAATGATAGCAAGCCTTTAATTGATTGAAATTATTGAATTTATAGGGTTCATATTTTTATTTCAGAATCTGATCTATATGAAGTGAGATCTGTAGAGGTTCCAGTTAAACCTGCCCCATTAGAAACAGGTGCTCTGGTTCCTCGCTCAGTTCCAAGTCATTTATTAATGATTTCTATACTGGAACATCTATGTTTTATGTACACTAGAAATGGTAATATGGCTCATAAATTATTTAAAGGTAGGATTTCTCTTTCAACTTGTTATCAACATATGTGAATAACTATTCTTTAATCAAGATATTAACATAATATCAGTTTAAAAGATCCAACCATTAAGCTGGATTCAAACATTTCATTGAACTGGAGAATATTACTGTTTGTTTTGTCTCATTCAGAAAAAATTCCTGGTTTGATTGTCTTGCTATGTAGAATTGGTCATTGTTATAAATAATCATGAATTGTATTTCTATATATTCCAGTATTATGTGAACAGTTAACAAAGTTACGTGTTGTATCACCATTAAGTTGTATTGATGAAATGAGTGGTATAAGATCACACTATAGGTCTTCTGTTCATAATATGATACAAGCTGCAATGAATGATTTACATGAGGTGAGATGGTTATGATATGTAATATTCTGATTAAAATTCCTATCTGCCCTATCCAGACAGGAGGGAGGGGGTGAGGTGTTACTCCATTTGCCACTTATGATCTGAAGACATTTTGCCTTTTAGTTGTGCTCTGTAATCTATTCCAAACAATCAAAACACTTCTCAGCTCACATTGCATGTCAATGTGAAATCAGAATACCTCATATCAGCTAAGAACTTTGGAGTGGTTAAAAGTTTTCAGTGTTTGGATTTCATACAAAAATTTCTTATGTAACTGACTTATAACTGTGATGTTCAGAAATCTGTATATATTTCAGAAAGGAGAGATACTAGCTCTACCTCCAACATTAGAATTTGGTAACATGAAACTGTAAGATTTTTTTTTGTTATTCCTTCAAATATTGAGATAGGAGAGGGGTTATATGGGTCTGTTCCCCAATCTTTTTCATTGAAACCTAGAAAAGAACTTGACATTTTGTAAGACCAGTTATGAACTGATAATCCCCATTGGTAGTCCTGGTGATGTAAAGTTTTTCTAAAATATCTGTCAACAGCATGAGAGCATGATATCCTGAGTGGTGTTTCTTCCCTTTTTTTTTTATTAGAAATCATCAGTTGACAAGAGTAAGAACTGAAGAGTTAATAAGTCTACAAACATCAAGATATGAACATGAATTTATAGAATTAGGAAAGTTAGGTAAAGGAGGTTTTGGATCTGTTTATAAGGTAACTTTTGTAGTTTTTTGTTTCCTGAAATACCAAAAGCTCATTACATGACACAAAAATCACCAATTTATTACCTTTTCACCATTTTCTCTTTTTGCATTATATATCACGTAAGTATTTTTTTCAGGAGAGAGGTAATATAGACAAAAGCCTGTTCCCTAATCCTTTTCATTATTATATGAATAAAATAAACATGACAGATAAATTACAAGCTTTCGCTTTTTTATTTCCAAAATCTTAAAGGTACCAGTAATCAAATTCAACCTTTCAACAATAATGAGTCCAAACCCCACATTACACATGTATTATTTTTCCTATTTTGACATTATAGGTACAAAATAGATTGGATGGAAGAAATTATGCAGTAAAGAAAATCAAATTTAAACATAAAAAACCTGAACATTTATTGAAGGTATGACATGTACCATACGCAATTTAATTTGATCACAAACTTTAGTAAAACTGATATGGACTCTACATATTGGAAGCTTATACGATAAATAAATGAGGATGAAATTTGTCTATATAATGAAATTAGAAATTGAAAAGAAAATATCATCTTGTAAAAAATAACTAATGGACATAAAAATTTCCCATTTATTTTGAAGTATATATATTTCATCAGGTATTAAAAGAAGTAAAAGCTTTAGCTAATTTTCAACATACAAATATAGTTGGTTATAATGCAGCATGGTTAGAATATGATTTCCCTTCAGTTAATACCAGTAAGTCATTTAAACCACCCTGATATAGAAATGGATAAAAAGAACTGCAGTACTTAATTTGATCAAGCTCTCCTGAGATAGAGGCTGTGCATGCTAAACATCTCTTGACAGTTGTAAAGTGAAGAAGCTGGCTGTCATAGAAAAAATATTCATGATTTATACATTGCTTGATATTGCCATCCTCTTAAAGTAATTTTAACTATAAATAAGGAATTTAAAATTTCATCATATCTCTTTCAAATCAAAATGCCCTAAATCAACAGGTATTGTCAAACCAATGATTAAGATACTTTGATGTTACATTAGCTGGTGTATTATTACAATATGAACAAATTAGGACTTAAAAATATTAAAATTTAAATCATTCTTTTACAGGCAGAAGTTCTTCCAGTTTAACTGATCATGATATTTCTCAAGATAAAAGGTATCATCATTATTGTACTTTATATTTCTTAAACAGTTATTTAGTTGGAGAGGGGCTGGCATTGAAAACAGCTTAGTTGTTCAGTAATTTGTTTCTTTGTTTGCTACAGGCTATTTGCATTATAGACTCTGTTAGAATTATATTACATATTAAAAAATAATATAATTATTTTCAATATTTTAGTTTTAGTAATATCCAGGAAGATAATGGTCACAGTGTAGATGTGGAGTTCCATTTAGATTCTGGTAGTGAAGATGAACTCTATGAAAAACAGGGCAAAATAATCCATAAACATTATAATCAATCTATATGTAGAATTACTGAAATCACTGAAATAGCTACCGCACCAGCTAAACAAACATTACCATCAAAAACATTTGAAAAACCTAGTGAAAAATCTCCCAAAACAATCCTAAATTCCATAATTCCAAGTGTCCAGGACCTTTCTTTTAGTGTCCCATCCCTGCCAAAAATCCAAGAGATCCAATGTATGAATTCCCATAAAGACCACATTAATATAGACAACTCAGACTCTAGTGATATCATTTTCTTAGATGAGTCGAATCATCCATCAAATTCCACTCAATCATTCAACGTGGCAAGAAATCATTTTTTAGAGGTACAGAATCTCACTGATGACAATCTCTCTGACTCTGAGTCTAAAAGCTGTGAATTGAACATAGATGACTCAAATGATGAGTTCAAAGTTGTGCGAAAACGTGTTGGACACAGTCACCATATAACAGCCAGTACTGGTGCCAAAACTTCTGGAATTAGTATACCCTATGGTAAAAAAGAGAATACAACACCAAATGCTAGTCCAAAAGATAGATTGGTACCATTTAGAAGAAGTATTAGTGCCGAACCTATTACAAACAATAAGAATATTATAAATGACTTGCAGGAATATTCTGATGATAATTTTCCTTATCATGTAAATTTGAATTTGATTGTTTTCATTGTGGAATTAAAAAGTCACTGTAGATACAACTTAATTTCAGTTGTCTGTGTCACTTTGCAGATTTGAAAAAAGTACCATGAAAGTTTAAACTGCTATTACTTTATTAACCAGTTCAAATAGAACTGAGCTGGCAAAGAAAATATTAAATGACTATAGATTCCCTCTCTAAATTAGTTTGTAGAGGTGGCAGAACATTTTGAGTAACCCTGAATGCTCTTATTATATGATAACTGAAATGAATAAATATAAACTCTTTTCATATTCTCAGCAAAATATATTTTTCTTCAGGCCACAATTACCCTGTATATACAAATGGAATTGTGTGAACAGACTTTACAGAATTGGTTATATGAGAGAAACAGTAAATTGAACTCAATAGAAGGTAATTTACGTTTCAATTGAGAACGATAATTATCCTTTTCTTGGCCTTGCCATGTCCTAACTTGTGTATATCATTTAATTTTGAGGGTTTCTTCAATCACTCTGGGTCTTAAAGACTGGAACATATATCTTATATTAACTTTGGTCATATTTAAAGGTATTGTAAGTCGGCTGATGATTATTGATTATACTCTTATTGTCTAAGTTTGAGACTTTAAATTTTAAAAGGTACTATTCCTTTTTAATTGATTATTTTATATAAGCTTATATCATGAATTTTGAAATGATTAAAGCCATTAGATCTATTGAATAAGTGCAGGAGTTGTGTTTTGGTGCATCTTCTTCAAGCTTGTACAGTGTAAAATTGTTTATATTTTAGATCTGAAATTGTATGAAGAAGATAACATGAGAATTATACATCAAATATTGACTGGTGTAAATTATATACATTCATTATGTTTAATACATAGAGATTTAAAGGTATTCAAAATTGATACCACTGTTTATTTGAGGTTTCAAAATACATCACCATAATTGTAAGCCATTGATTGCCCAGGCAGTAATTAACCTAATGTCATGCATATATAAGAATTAGTGCTCGTCATTGTGTTGATATTGGTAATTATGAATCTGGACTAAGATTTGGCTTAGTTTTTTTTCCATCTTGAATGAATGAATGATGACTTACTTAATGTTAACCACAAGTAATTTATGGCTTGAATATGTATGTGTCTTATTTCAATACAATATATGATAACTGAAAGTTCTTTTTCCTTTTAGCCTAGAAATATATTTCTAGTGGGTAATAATTTACATGTTAAAATTGGAGATTTTGGTCTAGCAACTGAGAATGTTATTGACAGTGATACAAAAGATACCATATTGACACCTTCACCTGATATAAAAGGTAAACAAGGTGTTATTATTGTTCTGTCCCACCATTTGTTGAGTTTGTTAAGACTCTCTCTCAATGGCCTCAGGCCTTATTCTCCAAAACCTAATTATGATGAAATCCAGATTTACATTAATCTGATTGGATTATAAAACTGAATTTAATATTAATTTTGAGGATCGACCAATCATATCTTCATGAGTTAAGTTTTCGAAAATAAGGCAACAGGAGGTGCAAGATACTGTCGTATTTGCTCGAAGTTAGTACAATTGTATGCTCATTTTTTATTTTACAGCTTTTTTTAAATATGATGATTTAACGTCTGGTGTTGGTACTTATCAATATGCAGCCCCGGAACAGTTAACAAATAATCAATATGATAGTAAGGTTAGTATGTTAACATTAACAGTCAATCAATATGCAAAAAAAGTTAGTTTGTTAGCATTAACAAACAATCATTATGATAGTAAAGTTAGTATGTTAGCATTAACAAACAATCAAAATGATAGTAAGGTTAGTATGTTAGCATTAACAAACAATCATTATGATAGTAAAGTTAGTATGTTAGCATTAACAAACAATCAAAATGATAGTAAGGTTAGTATGTTAGCATTAACAAACAACAATATGAAAGTAAGATCAGTATGTTAGCATTAACAAACTATCAATATGATAGTAAGGTCACTATGTAAGCATTAACAAACTATCAATATGATAGTAAGGTTAGCATTGACAAAATCTCAATTTGATAGTAAGGTTAGCATTGACAAAATCTCAATTTGATAGTAAGGTTAGCATTGACAAAATCTCAATATGATAGTAAGGTTAGCATTGACAAAATCTCCATGAAAGTAAGGTTAGCATTGATAAAATCTCAATATTATAGTAAGGTTAGCATTGACAAAATCTCAATATTATAGTAAGGTTAGTATTGACAAAATCTCAGTGTGACAGTAAGGTTACATGGTTTCTTCATATGAAACTTTTTTTGTTTCTTAACACATTTCCAAATTACCCACTTCAAAAATATACACACCTTAGAAGCCAGAAATAGATATCTGCCTTGCCTTTTCTTTTAAATTGTTGATTTTTTTTTTTAATGAATTTTTGTAGAGTGATATATATAGTATTGGTGTCATATTATTTGAAGAATTTCAAGTATTTAAAACAGAGATGGAAAGACATGTATCTATTAAACAGTTAAGAGATGGTATTATTTCTGAGTCACTACAGCAGAATTGGCCAAAAGAGGTAATCTGCTTTCTAATGGAACTAGTTTGTTGAATTTTCAGGAATACTTTTAGTATTATTCAACCTGGTATTTTGCCTTGTCAAGTCAGATGAACTGTGATAGTCACTCAGATTGGACTTAACTGGGGTCCAGTCTTTATACTTGAATGGTCTTGAGTGTCCTGTTTTGACAAAATTACTTCAATCTTTCTCTGCTTGATATTGCCTGTTTTTTCAGCCAAATTCTTATATTAGATGATAAAGTCTCTTTTTTTTTGTTTTGTCAGAATTTGAAAAGAATTCCTAATTGTGTTACGTTCATTTTATAGGCGCAAGCTATAAAAGAAATGACAAGTGTTAAACCTAATGATAGACCAACAGCTAAATATTTATTAGACAGTCAATTATTTCTGTCACCAGATCAGGTAGGGGATAATTATAGTAATAATTTATTAGTGGACCTTTACCGTCCTCACCACTTAAATGACTGTAAATTTCATCACTCATGTCCATCTCTGGTTAATTTGCCAATTATGTTAAAAAGGATAGAGATTTGATGAACTATTTCAAGAAATCATATGCTTCATTTCTAATATAATATATCTTACCAATTTTAGTCTTTTTTTTATTTTCAATACACAAAATTTGCTGAACCATGTTCTCATTCTTGTTATTTTCATTAGAACTGTTCTGTTCTGTTATCATTTCTGATTATGATTTATTTTCACTTTTTTTTTTTAAGGTCATAGCATCTCTACAGAAACAATTATGTGAAAAATCAAACTATATCATACAATTGGAAAAACAATTAAAAGAAAAAAATGATGAAAATTATGAGTTAAAAAGAAAACTAGAGCAAAAACTTGAACAGTCTGCAGCAGAACATTTTTTATTTGAAGCATTCCATTAGTGTTGTGGACGTTTAAGGGATATAGTTGATAAATGGTTGTATAATACTTACAGCTTAATATCAGCTATATGTATCATTTTCCAGAAATATAATCATTATGGCACAGGTAATAACTGTCTGGTACTCAAAAATATAAAAATGCTCTAGATTGTTTTGGTATGTTTTTGTTCAATTATAATCTGACATCGACAATTTAACTCTGAAAAATGTTATGGACAACAGAAATTAAGCTCAGCTGGTATAGCTGCTTTTAAGGCATTCATGGGGATTCCTTAAAGTTAAAGTTATCTATATTTGTTGTGATATCAGAATACTGTGCCTTATCTGCCATTTAAAGTTTCAATACTAAAGAAATACTTAGGTAGAATGTTATTTCAGGAAACTCGCAGTTTCAACATTTAATTAATTCCTGATGTTAGCATAAATTGCATCATATCATATTTGATTTCCCATAGCATAAATTTCAACTAATACCCATAAATTATTCTATCGATATTATTTTTTGAAATACACCCTTTTCATTCTTAATTTATTCTATGTATTATCATTGTTATTAGTATTCTTATTACATTGATGATTTTTTTTATTTTATGAGTTCTTTAAAACTATGACAGAAAGGCTCATTGTTGGCCTTCCTACCCTGCAAAGCAAACAAAATGTCTCACTCAATCAGCGTCTTTCCTATGGATGTCAAAAATTCAATTCAAAGTTGTTTTGGTCGTTTTGTTAAGAAACTAACTAATAGCTGGTCTATTATAACGTAAAAGCCTATTGTTGGCCTAAATACCCTGCAAAGCAGGATTTGGTAGCTTTTTTTTCAAACTTCTACCCACTAAATAGTCCCAAATCGGCGGCCATCTTTAGTCATTTTGGTCAAGAAAATTAAAATTGAATAGTTTTCTCTGTTTTGGCTAAATTGGAACATGGGGATCCTAGAGATGCCAGAAATTCAATTCAAAGTTGTTTTGGTGGAAAACTAGAGACGAAAAACTTGTCCAAATGAAGCCATTTCGCGACAACTCCTACTTTGAGAGGCTGTAACTCTCTAAGAATCTAAGTGTATCCAATAGACATAGCTGGTCTATTGTGACGTAAAGGCCTATTGTTGGCCTAACTACCTTGCAAAGCACAGCTCTGTAGCACCTACCGTGTGCCTACGGTAACTGTTTTTCAAAGTTTCACCCCGCTTAATTGTCCCAAGTCGGCGGCCATCTTTAGTCATTTTGGTCAATAAATTTTAAAAAATAGTTTTTTCTCTGTTTTGGCTAAATTGGAACTTGGGGGTCCCAAACGGTGGGTTCGTTTTGCCGCATTGCCAAACTTGCCGCATCGTGCCCAACTGCACAAAAACGTTCCAATTTTCAGTCAGACGTCTGCGGTTCTTGCAATTCCACTAAAAGTAAACGTTTTAGGACACCACTCTATCGCAAATTCTGATAAGGACCTTTGTGATAGTTGAACCTCCCGAAACGCATTAAGTAGGCTAGAATTGCAAGATCAAAAGACTTTTGGAATGGTGCAAAGTCCTCGATATTGTTAAAAATTTAGAAAACATATATTTATTCTTGTTTTTAAAAAAACCTCTCAACAATGCGACAACGGTCTACCCCTAAATTTTACCCAAATTCTCAAGCAAAATTCCGCTAGCGACACATGAAAGACTGGATCAGCCGAACTAATAATGTCTGGATAATCTGGAAACGCGGAAGTAGAAAGAGAAAGTAGCAGTCTACACAAAAACAAAAATGTCCTGTGCAAAACTTATTACCAGATTTCGTGGCAGTATGGTGGGTGCTGTTATAGGAGATTGTATCGGAGCTTGCTTTGAAATGAATGATGAGGAATGTACAAAATCAAACATATTGAAAACCATAGCCCACATTGAAAATGTTAAAGGTATTTATTAACCCGGATTTCAAACGAGATGACATTAATTAGGCCCTCCACCAAATATTGGTAACAATTTCCACAAGAGAGAATCTCTTTTTTGTCTGAGTTATCTGGGATAATGTTATTATCCTTCTATCATCATCATTGACCTATGAGGTACCACATCATTTCTTTCAAAATCAAAATATTTTTTATACATTTTAGTCTCAAAATATGTCAGAATGACCAAATCAAAAGGCTACTATGCACTTCCTCAGAGTTGGCAAATTTTGAATCTCAACCTGGACGATTGCAGGTTAGCTGTGTTTTCCTGTCTCTGTCAAGATGGAAATTATTTCTTTTTGATTGTATTTCAAGCTGGTAAAAGAAGAAAGTTTGGAGAATATATTTATACTGATGATACAGCTATGGCTAGAAGTGTGGCTGAGTCTTTGATAGATAATAAAGGTTTTAATGCTAAGGATATGGCAAAAAGGTGGGTGTAGGTGTAGAATATCTGTTAGGGAATTGGTATTTAGCATCAGATTTTGTGCATTTATTGTTATGCTAGACGAACATGATGCAGATTTTACAATGTTTTAGATCATTTATAATAAAATTGTCCTTTTAACATTAAATTTCACATATTTTTCATCTAAAGAATTTTCACAAATTTGTGCATTGATAATTACTTAAAAGGACAGGTGCGTCATTTCATTGACCACACTTTAGTCTCAGAAATGGGCATTTTTTTTAGCAAAGCCAATTAGTAATAGTGTCAAAATTTGAGCTTTCAAATCCATGTGTGTCAAGAAAGTTCTAGTTTGAGATATTTTTGAAGGAATTATGTGATTTTTTGTAATTTTCTAGTATTTCTGAAGACTATTTACATATGTTTAAGACTCAAATCAACCACCCAAATTGGTGTATCTATCCATTTAAATGTTGTTTTTGATAGAATACAGATTTTCATAATTTTTATTATATTGAAATATTGACTCTCAGACTTCAATATGAATGCAGTTGCAGAAACAGTTGGTTCCGTTAACTGACTGTAGCCTTCATCTACTATGTACAGACTTGAGGAATAACCCTGATTCCATCATTTACCAAAAATTCAAATATTGTTTGTTTGTTTCTAATTTCAGATTCTCAGAAGAATACATGAGGGAACCAAGAAGAGGCTATGGTGGTAATGTTATAACAGTATTTAAGCTTTTACAAGATCCACAATTAGAAGATGTTTTTGAACCTGCAAGAAGACAATTTGATGGTCAAGGTTCATTTGGTAATGGTGGAGCTATGAGAATTGTTCCTGCACCATTGTTTTCATACAATAAAGATATTGAATTTTTACAGGTAAGTTGACGTGAGAAAAATTAGATTTTTTTTATATTGGAAATACTATAGTCTATATACTATTATAGTTCAACTGATTTCTGTTAAACTTAGAAGGTATTATGTAACCTCTATGGGAAGTCCTGTTTGATGCAGTTTTTAACCATTAAAGTAGATTGCGATCTTGATTATATTTTTTCTCCAGAATTTGACCAGACAGATAACAGAAATCACCCATTCTCATTATCAAGCTATACAGGGTACTATTTTAGAAAGTTTAGCTATTTATATAGCTTTACACACAGACAATACTATACCATTAGATACAGACCATTATCTTCAACAACTTAAAAAACATATGAATACATTAGAAGAGGAAGGGTTAGCTCAGTTAAAACAGCTATCAGAATCTCCCAATAAAAGATCACCAATAAGGTACTGTTCACACCACAAATTCTTAATAGATAAATGTTTTTCAAACTAATTAAAATAAGAATTTATATAATTTGCTGGTGACATTTTTTGAATTTGATCTGGACTTCCTAAATCAGATGACTTAATTAAATAAAATTAGATAAATTAATTAGATAAAAGTTAAAAAATTAAAAATTGGCTTATTATCTGTAATTGTAGACAAACTAGATGTCAGATTTTCATTCTGAAAAGTGATAAGTTTAGTCAACATAAAACATCAGGACTATATCCCTCCATGAAAACTTGAATTTGGTAGAAGCCTATTAGAGTGTCAGGTGTAAAATACACACATAGTCACATAGTTTTAGAGTTTCTATTTTAGTCTGAATTTGTTGATTTAACTGAAATAAATATGATATTTGTAGAGAATCTGAGAAGAATGACAAGCCATATTGTTATAAATTAGACAAGATGAAGGAATATTTGGAACAAGAAGAAGTTTCAATAGATGAACTCAATGAAGTTTTAGGTAGGTGACTGAGGCTGTTTTACATAGTATTTTTCATAACACTTTTTTGAATTCGCCATTCATCAATTTGTCAAGAGAAAAAGAAGTTAAAGAACAAGTATATAATACCAATGGATATTTTTGAATTAGTTATTATAGTAAAATAAAGCTATTGTTAGTAAGTAATGATTATTATTTTTAGGAAATGATGTGTCAGCACTAGGTTCAGTACCTGCAGCTATTTATTCATTCCTCCGTTCTTCAAAACCTTTTACAGATGAATTAGAGGTAATTTTATGTCAAATGATACGTTTGATATTTTTGTATTTTGAAATACAAACAAGAAGACATCTAAATGCCATCCTCCAAATATCTTTCTTTACCCCATGACAGGAGTTGAATTTCAACTACCTGGCATGGCACTTCGCAGAAGAAAAATGGTGATTGCTGGTTCTCCTACTATTCAACATTAATTTGTTCATGCAATGCAGATGTGAATTTTTATGACATCATCAGTAATTACCTCTGGGAAGAGACATATGTCAAAGGCCTCAATCCCACTTAACATCATATCTATTGTATTCTAGGATAGAAATGGATTTGAGAAGACTATAATATATGCTATTAGTATGAAGGGTGATACAGATACAATAGCTTCAATGGCTGGTGCCATAGCTGGTGCCTATTATGGTATAAAGTCTATCCCAGATTCCTGGCAACATTCTTGTGAAGGTGCCATTGATGCCAGTAAATATGCTGACAAGTTGATAGATATAAGTGAAGAATTAAAATGACTTTTAAAGTCACGTCTGTAAAAAGATGGTAACTCCTGTATATTGTCAAACAAAGATATTTTGACACCATTTTTTCTACAATGAAACATTTTGTATTCAATATAAGAATGAGTATTGATGGATTAGAATAGACCTCTTTTTCTGGCAATATCTTAAAGGGATTGTAAAGAGGTTTTCCAAACTTTTTATGTGTATCAATTTGCACCATTCCAACTCTCATTCCGACGTCTGTGGTTCTTGCAATTCCACTAAAAATAACGCGTTTTAAGATGTCATAGATATCAATAGTAGCTTCCAGTAGCTCCCCTCTAGTGATGTCATAAAACATGTTAGCTATCAGTGTCCCTGATACACATAAAATTTTAGAAAACCTCTTAAGTAAAGTATGGTTCAAATTTGTAACATATGCTTTTAACCATTTGCATACCAATATTGTACACCAAAAAAAGAGATACTCTTATGAAGATGTCAAATTTGCTGGTCCAAAAATCAAATTTTATATGCTCATGTAAGGTTATAATGTAATTATTTAGGTAATGATTCAAAAAGTGCTGCACATGTTTTTGAAAATCATGTAAAGTATTGTATATAATATTAAGAGTCTTGATGTCTTGACTTTGAGATGGAAGTCAGAGTGTCTTAAAAGGAATACTACCTCTTAAAATGGACATAAAAACTTGGTCAATGAAAGTATTATATTCATCAGATGGACTTGGGAATGCCATGGCTAAAGAATAAAATCTCTATATAAGACAATAAAACCATTAAACTAAATGATTATTGAAACAGGCTTCTAGGCTTCTTAGTTTATTTTAATGAATTATTAGTTAGTTTTATGGATTTATTGTATTATATATGTTGTATAGTTATGGAACCAGGTAAGTTGACTGATAAACAAAGACTCATTATGGCCAACTTCAAAATTTTAATTTTTTGGAGATTCTAAGAGGTAGTATACCTTTAATATTTTCTTACACCTTGATAACTATGATATAACATACAATTGGATGACTAAAATGCATTTAATAAGAATTCATAATATAAATTACATGTAACAATGAATAGATCGTATTATGTTTGTTATATGTATATGTACATTTTTATATGGGTACAGAACATATTTTGTTTCTATTATATGGTATTTTTTTGTTGAATATTTTAACAATAAACCTTTTAACTTGTAAAAGAATCTTCTCTTTTACACTTATGTGAACAACCTGTCATATCTTATAAATTTCTAGTGATGACAAGTATAACATGATCATAAGCTTCATCATTGTTGATATAAATGCATTTCCAGTCCAAAAGGCCCTATTCACATGCCAGCCATATTGAATCCAGAACCAGACTCATAACGCAAACATATAAATGTGACATTGTGTTACTGCATAAAATCGCCCCTCATTTCTGAGAAAAAAGGCAGTTTTAGTCCCAATTTCTTGCTGTTGATCGGCAATTTAATGATGTCATATAGGCTATTCCTTGATATGATGTCACCATCTTATCAATGGATGATGTCATTTGCATTATGAACCTCGTTTTCAGTGTCTAAAAAATTAGGAATGAATAATATCTATTTGAGCTCCAAATGAGAAGCTATTTTTTTAAAGGATTTTTACTCATTCATTACATAATGCATTTCCAGTCTAATTTGAGCTCAGATATACATCTACATTTTGATAGAGCTTTTTATACAGTTTTTTCACACATTCATTGCTAAAATGGTTTGGAACAAGCAACATCACTATAAAGACAACTAATAGATTGATAACAAGACCTGTTTTTCTATCAGATATACATGGAACAACTCACACATATATAACTAGACCTAGGTCTCTACATCTTCAGTCTTTCATAAGTCTTTACTGGCCTCTCTAAAACAAATATTATATAGTTTGGTCGACAAAACATTCAACAACTTCAAATTGTCAAAGAGATATTAAAAGAATACTACCTCTTAGAATGGATATTGGGATAATGTTGTATAATTATGATACCAGGTAAGTCAAGTGATGAACAAAGACTAATTTTGACCAAGTTAAAGATTTCATTTTTTGGGGTCATCCTTAGAGGTTTCGGAAGTTCACTTCAATAGCTATCAACCAATGGCTCTTGTAAACTCAAGATATATCGTGTTCACTTTCTTCATTTGCAGAGGGTATCTGTCAGAAACAGATGTGAGAAATGTACGTTGTTTCTCACCACAACAGATCCCAGGTAAAAAGGTCATCAAATATTGACCATTCATTCAATCATAACATAACATAACATAATATACATCAATTTATTATAAACAGTAAACAAGTGAAATATACCTACTTTTTATCTTTTTCTTGAATACTGGCAATTAATTTAGGTGAAATAGGCATTTCTTCTTCACTCATAAATGTAATCACCTCCTTTAAAAACAAAATACAGAGAAAGATTAAATTCACGGATAATAGTCATAATTTAGAAAGAGTTGCCTGTTATTTTTCAATTTTCAACTTCAGAAATCATGAGAACTTGTTGGTTTTACAATGTTCTTAGTCAAAGAACAAGTGTACAGAGTACAATGCTCTTTATTGATTTCTGGACATATTTCATTGTCCTCACTCCTTCATGATAATACACAAATCAATACACAAAACAATTTCTATAATAATTTAACTTACTTACCATAGCTTTAGTAACTACTTCTTCTTCTAAACATGTACTAGCCAACTGACTTAATGCTTGTACACTACAAAATATCAACAACATTGATGAAATTCAAACACCACTATTAACTTTTATCATACCAAGTTTCATCTAAATCTTTTAAGATTACTGCCTTCTGGAGTGTTTACAAGCTAAAAATTGAACGCGTTTTCAAGAACAAGGGCAATAACTCATACTAAATATTTTTCAATTTTTCTGATTTTCGATAGAGTTTACCCTTGGGCATTAACAAACACTCACACCAAGTTTCATAAAAATTCATCCAGAATTGTGCATTCTAGAGAGTTTAGAAGCTAAAATTGAATGTGTTTTCGAGAACAAGGGCAATAACTCATACTAAATATTTTTCGATTTTTATAATTTCCAATAGGGTTTATACTTTGGTGATTACAAACAACCATACCAAGTTTCCTCGAAATCAATCAAGAATTGTGCCTTGTAGAGTGTTTATGAGCAATTGTGGACGGACGGACATTTTTTATTAGGATTTTACATTTTTACATATACATAACATCTCAGCTTACTTCGAAAATCTTTATAGACTTACTTAGCCATTCCAGGAAATCTTTTTCTATTCGTAGCTAGATCAATAAATAATTGCCTGAAATATAAAAAAATTCATATTCTTCTACAGGTATGTCAATATCTAGCAAGAAACACAGCTGCTTTTGCTTCTAGTTTTATTAGTGGAAGCCATCTACTTTTTATAGCACCTTGAAGCGTTCTAACCACCGAAAACTATATCATAATATCTTGTAATGTAATATTTAGTTAGTCACAATAGTTTTGTATGCATCTTATCTATATCAAGATTTATTTCTTTAACAAACTTAAATCAAATACTTTGACCAATCATCAGACAATAGTGTTTTTGTGTCTAAAATATCAAACAAAGAAAACTTCTCTTTTTGTAAAGTTTAGCTTGGCACTGACATAAGCATGACTCTGATTGAGATAAAATAATTAGCATATATCAAATACAATTTCAAGGTTAACAAAAGGAAAGATATTCAGGACCATGGGATAAGGTGATCAGAATAACCTATGGAACAGGTATAAAACCCAAGGGAACTTACCAAGCTTTGTTTAGTTGGTTTCCATTCAAATACACAAGGATTAATTTACAAATCAAATCAGCAGAAATCCTAAGAATAGAAAAATGATTTGCTTACCAAGTAAGTACACATAACTTAAATTGATCTAGATCTATTATCTCAAAATATAAGCTATTGAAACCTTAAATAAAGTAGCAGACCCGTGTCTAAGGGCTGTTGAATCACATTGTTAATCATTTTGCTCATCTTCCCCCCTTTTGACCCTTGTCTAGCTAAGGGCCTATAAAGTAATGACATACATTTTGAGCAATTGATAATCTTGATAATGATGATTTGGTAGAGAGGCAAATTTACCTTTCGTAATGTATACAAAATTTCCGAAAAATCCATAAAAAAAATTATATCAAAAATTTGTAAACAAAATGTAAATAATTATACAAAAAAAACAAATGATATCTTTCTTTAAATGAAGTGACAATCAAACTTTGTTAAGACAGAACCCAGTTCTAAGAGATGAACTTTGGTTAGGTAATAATCTAATTCTATTACAGGTTAATGGCCAAATCAGATTATTTTATCTTTTTAAAAAGTGCTACAGGTAGTCTCAGTATAAGAATTATAATAAAACACAGTCAATAAGTTTATGTTTAGTTATAAACCAATACCAAGTTAGATTTCAATGTCATCCAAGAATAATAGGATCACTTATATTATTATAGTCAGAAAAAACAATACCAAGTCAGATTAACTTTTCTCTTTGAAAAGTGGTACAGGTAGTCATCATCTGTAGTTCATTCATAGAATGATAGGATGATGTACATCTGTCTTATAAAACATCAATACTTACGTGATTCTGAATTTCTCATTGCTAAGCAGTAAAGTTTTGTTTCTTTTCTCTACCAGGGTGTCAACCATGTTACAAAACTGGTTCTGTAACTACAATAAGACATTAAGTATGTTAATAATACTATGTACATGTAGTTATTTTAAAGTGACACATAACATTATTCTCTGAAACAGTGCATAAATACGGCAACAAAAATTAATTCAATATCTTAATGATATAAAAGCTGAATTCATGTTTATATAATAATGATATTTATATATATGCTGAGCTTGCGATGACGTTGACAAATCTTCAAAAAAAATTTGACCACTTTTTCTTAGAATATCACCATAGGGATTTACGGATTATCAGCAATCAGTTTAAGGCATCTCCACTATATTTAGTATGGTTTATACAAACTGAATGTGTAGTTGAGCAAACACATTTCTGTACATCAGAGTCTGATCCAAAACATAAACAGTATTTGTAGTTTAAGTAATTATCAACACAATGAGAGTTTATTCTATACCTAAAAATAAAGTTCACTGTTCGTGTTATGAATTGGACCTGGATGAACTGAAATATCTTTGATCTTGACTATAAAATTATTTCATTGTATACTTTACTCAATTCAGTCTGACCGTTTAAATACTTACATCATCTTTAAATGTCTGTTTGGCTACCAGACTGAAAAACATTTGAATCTCGTTTTGAAAACGATAATATTCTCCCATGGACAACGCTGAAATAACAAATGAGAAGATAGCGTAAACAAACTCATCCACATCATAAAATTATAAAATTTGTTCAGTTTTATAATGTATGGGAAATAAGGGGTCAACTAAATAGTCCTGTGGGCTCAGATTGACCAATCAAATTGGTACACTTCTAGATAATGTGTTCCTTCATGTGTTTGTGTGTATTATCTAACTTAGGCAATACATAATTCATTGACCCAATCAAATCTGTCTGTCAAATAAGTGCACCATGGGTACACTGAAACTGAAAGTTCTTGCAGGTCTGGACATTCTGTGATAAAAAACATATTGCCAATTCAATAAAGCCAAGATCATACCAGTCCAGATATCTAAAAGATAATGATATTCTTCTGTTAATTCTATCAATGGAAATAAATCAACATATTCTTTCTTCATTGCTGTTGTCTGCAAAATTTATATCAAAAAAAACATTTACAGTCTGATAAACATTACAACTTATACAATAATTTTTGTTATAAAATAACATTTGTTATAAAGTATATTCTATCAATATTACATTTCAAATCACAAACATTGATGAGAAAAATAAATGTCTTAAAAGGAAAGGGATCTAGAGAATTCACAGAAGCCATGAAGTTCTGCATTCACACCTATTTTAAATCCATTTTACCCACAAACATTTTTTTTTTTGTCTTTAAAGTTCACCATTCTAGCTTTACAAATTTCAGCAACACATCACTCAAGTAGTTTGTGTCACTGAAAATTGCGCAATAATGGTATAAAATTTCTACAGCTCATCTACACTTTTACCAAGAATAACTCCAGTTAACACAGGGTTAAGCTTTATACATATGGGCCCTGATTTACATGTATTGTATATTAACATAATGTACAATCTTTACTTACATAAGGTATCAGTCTTCTAAACTCTTTCATAACTTTATGAATATCTCCTTGTTGAATTAGGAATTGAAAATACCAATTACTAAAATAGATAGAAACAATGATAAATGATAACCATAGCATACCTTATAGAGATAACTCCAGCATATCTTGTATTGCATTCGTATTGTATCTGTCCTTAGAATACAACACTTATCTGGTACACACTTAACACTTAAACAATATCTGGTATGCCAAAATAAAGGTGGAAAGAATAAGAATGACAACTTACTGCAATAAACCACCTCGATCTGACATCAAATTTGGATTTTTGTCATAAAACTTGAGTAATTTACCACAAAGCTCATCATCACGGAGGTTTCTTGATATCTACAAAATATATTTTACAAAAATGTAGCTTTATCAACATTCAAATTTCTTATATCTGACACAGTTCTTCTGTTATCTATATTGTAAATATATACAGATAATTCATATAGGCTCAAGCAAATGTAAAATCTGTCTGGATAATTCCCCAACCACCATTTGTTAGACATATGAGATGATATCATGCCTTACACTCTCTAACCACTGGACTACAAACCATCTTGTTATAATTATAGTTACTGAATTAAAATAGAAGTTATGAAACTTACAATCATCATGACTTGAATACAAAATGAACCTATAAATAGAAAATAAAAGGTTGATCAAGGCAAATAATTCATAAATTAGAAAATATAAAGCGAACAATTCTAGAGAAAATTTGTTGCAGGTTATAATGATGGCCATTGCATGTCATAAAGGTCATTTATACACATTAAAATATGATATGGTAATGTGAAAATCTGATTGTAATAAAAAATAAAAAAAAATTCACAATGTCTTATCATGCAGTTCTATTCTTACATTTATTATAAGCCAATCAAAATTGTCAAATTTGAATTTTAAGGAATATCTAAAAACTTACTTGAAAGGAAATAAGACTCCATATTATCTTCATGAAAGACATAATTAGCTTCTAAATAATCCATAACTTGATGTAGTAAATAAGGATCTCTATCTAGAAAATTCAACAAAATAGATGATGACTATTATATAGCAGCTTTGTTTACATTTGGACTTTTGAAATAACAACAACCCTAAAGGATCATTATTTTTGAAATTGTCTTAATCAAGCATCGCATAAATTTCTGATTTAAGAACTTTTAGATAATGGGTCTAACTGAAAACAAAACCAAAATAGACAAAAGTTAGCCTTTGTAGCTCATCTGGTTTTATGATTATTTTGAAAAAGTCTCATCTAATTCATAGCCAGGAGACATGCTTTGTTTAAAAGTGGGTTGAGACTGTGACAACTAATCAAACAATAGACAAGAAATTGAACATGTTAGAGAATGAGCTTAAATAATATAACAATACATAATCATCATACTTACGGCGCTTGGTGCCTTCCATTTTTAGAACATAAGCAGATGAGTGTGGGCTATATACAATATCCAATAAGAATCTAAAACATCCTAAAGTAGGCTCTGAAATACATGTACAACACATCAATAAACATGTAGCCTACCACTGTGAACTAAGATCTGACCAATAAAGATGCTATTAATGAATATGTACCAAGATCTCATCAATAAATGTGACGTTTGGATGTGAACTCAGATCTGACCAATAAATGTACCAAGATCTCATCAAAAACATGTATCAAGATCTCATGAATAAACATGTTTTAAGATCTCATCAATAAACATGTTCCAAGATCTCATCAGTAAACATGTTCTATGATCTCATGAATAAACATGTTTTAAGATCTCATCAATAAACATGTTCCAAGATCTCATCAATAAACATGCTCCAAGATCTCATCAATAAAAAGGTACCAAGATCTCATCAATTAACATGTTCCAAGATCTCATCAATAAACATGTTCTAAGATCTCATCAATTAACATGTTCCAAGATCTCATCAATAAACATGTACCAAGATCTCATCAATAAATATGTACAAAGATCTCATCAATAAATATGTTCCAAGAACTCATTAATAAACATGTACAAAAAACTCATCAATAAATATGTACCAAGATCTCATATATAAACATGTACAAAGATCTCATCAGTAAACATGTTCCAAGATCTCATCAATAAACATGTTCTAAGATCACATCAATAAACATGTACCAAGATCTCATCAATAAACATGTTCCAAGATCTCATAAATAAACATGCTCTAAGATCTCATCAATAAACATGTTCCAAGATCTCATCAATAAACATGTACCAAGATCTCATCAATAAACATGTTCCAAGATCTCATCAATAAACATGTACCAAGATCTCATCAATAAACATGTTCCAAGATCTCATCAATAAACATGTTCTAAGATCTCATCAATAAACATGTTCCAAGATCTCATCAATAAACATGTACCAAGATCTCATCAATAAACATGTTCAACAATCTAATCAATAAAATGTACAAGGATCTCTGCAATAATATATATAAGTATATGTACTAAAATGAGATCTCATGAATATAAATGACATGCTAGTATCGAGTTCATGTATCAATAGAAAATATTACTGAACTATATAATAAAATTACCTATGTTTAACTTTTTCATTTCATTAAATACTGTTATGGCATAACTCTTGTCCGAAGTTCCTATCCATGCTAAAACACTTAATACTGCTTCAAAAGTTTTTACTGTTGGCTTGACACCATTAGCTTCCATTTCAGTTAATAAATTCTGAAAAAAAGTTCAATATTTAAATCTAACACTTCACATTATAGTGTATATTCTGATTTATGGTTTACCACTTGATAAGAGTTCAATCTTAAAACTACCTATGACAATTTTTTCAGAAATATAATCCAAATCAAAGTCAAATGAAATAAAGATAGCTTGCCACGCAATTTTGACAATTTACAGTTTCATCAAGATTTCAAAATTAGAACTTCTATCTTGTCAACAAGCCAAATTAAAACCCTTTAACCAATCACTACTAAATTCAAACTTGACTTAGATGTCATCAATAATGCATACCAAGTTTAAATAAGATTGATTAAGTATTTTATCTTCTATCGTATGTACAAGCCAAACTTAAACCATTTAAATGAGTATTATCTTATTCCAACTTGACCCAGATCTAATCGATATATAATATCTTGGTAATTACTCTTAAAACATTCATCATTGTTGACATGCCAGTTGACATGCCATGATACACGTATTTATGACAATACCTTTCATTCCATAAAAGAATGGAATCACACTTTTTTCACTGACTTAACAGAAATTGTTGGAAACTATTTATAAGACGATTGACATTTACTGCTCTATCAACTACATTACCAAATATCACAGTAACTGTTATAAACTATAACATAAAACTATCATGAAAATATCAATATTCATCTTATTATCCTAGTTATTGTTATTATTTCAAGTCCCAGTGTGTTATCATACTGTCAATTCTTTTTTTTTTTTTTTTTTTCCATTTTTACACACCTTCCTGAGCTTAGACTGCAGTAGTTGCAACAATCATTCAACTTTCTTGAACCTTAGATAATGGCAATGTTGTGCATAAATATAAATTGAAACATTTTTGCGCAACCGGAAGTGCTACAGTTCAACATGTGCAAAACTCGAAAATTGGCTCTAGAAGGCGCATTTTCCTGGGGTTTTCAATTTTAACATCCGGTGGCTAATGTCGACTAGATAGCACTTGAAAAATTTCGAAATTCGAAACTTTTTGCGATCAGATTTTTCAATTTTTTGGCTACTTTTTTGTTTTTGCATCGATTGATCTGAAATTTAAAATGCAAATAGACATCACTTAAGTAAATGATATGATACAGTCAGATTTTTTACGTCATTTCCGGTTTTGAAGTTTGAGTCACTTGAAGTCCACAATCGAATCTGTCGAATAACTTCCAGTGAAATTTATCAAAATGAACGGAATTTCGTTGATCGATATAAAATAAAAATCTATGGCCGATTTTAAAATAAAATTCCGACTGGAAGTCCTTAGGAATAAACTAAACCTGCGTAATTTTGGTGTCGATGTAATCTGCTGTCGAAAGTCTACAAAACATTGGGAGCCGATTTTTGAATTTCGCTTTTGCGTTTTTGCAATTTCCGGTTGAATTTTTTCAAAGTTTATTTCTTGTGACCTTTGATGACCTTGACCTTCATAGGATCAAAGGTCATATTGACCTTGGATATCATTTGATACTTTGACCTTGACCTCCGACATGTACTTTCGGTTTTATAGCTTCTCTTGTACTTTACATAGATATATAACAATCGTTTTTTTAAAGCAAAATTGAAATTTGTGAAGACGAATTTCAATTTTG